TTTGTGGACAAAACCGCACACATTTTCGTCAACGTATAACAATCTACAGCATTATGGTGTGACAAAACCGCACACTTTTTTGGGGCGAAATAATGGATAATATATGATACTTGGATTATCATTTCTCATTTTATTTATTTATTGATTATCAAACAATCCGTAAGAATATAATTAATTTTAATTTAAAAATGATTCATTTTTAATAAAAAATGTATGACAATATTATTATTTCCATTACTTATAAGAGTAAATTATCATATATGTTGTAAGAGTTGTAATTTTAAGTACAAACAATTAAGATCGTCAAATTGTGGAAATATATTTGAAAATACTTTATGAAAAATAAAGATTACACTTTTGATTTGGTGTCAATAACTTTTGTGGACAAAACCGCACACATTTTCGTCAACGTATAACAATCTACAGCATTATGGTGTGACAAAACCGCACACTTTTTTGGAAATATAATTGATAATACTTTATAAAAAATATAGATTACACTTTTGATTTGGTCCCAATAACGTCGGTAGACAAAACCGCACACTTTTATGTCAAGGTAAAACAAACTACAGCATTATGGTGTGACAAAACCGCACAATTTTTTGGGGCAAAATAAAGGATAAGATATGATAATTAGATTGTCATATCTTATCCGTAATTTTTATTTTATTTATTTATTGAATATATAACGACCAGTAAGAATATAATTAATTTTAATTTATAAATTGTATATGATTAATAAAAATTATATGACAATATTATTACTTCTATTACTTATAAGAGTAAATTATAAAATAAAATGTAAAAGTTGTCATTTTAATTTCAAACAATTACTATCTAGTAGTTATGGAAATATGTTTGACGATATTTTATAAAAGTAATTAGCGAACCTTTGATATGGTCCTAATAAGTTTTGTTGACAAAACCGCACACTTTTTCGTCAAGGTAAAACAGACTAAAGCATTATGGTGTGATAAAACTGCACACTTTTTTGGGGCACAATGACTGATAATATATGATACTTGGATTATCAAATCTTCTTTTATTTATTAATGGAATATCAAACAATCCGTACGAATATAATTAATTTTAATTTATTATAAATTATAATTAATATTAAATATATGACAATTTTATTTTTTTCTTAAATTATAAGAGTATATTAGAATATATGTCGTAAGAGTTGTAAATTTAAGTACAAACAATTA